CTTATCTCATGTAACTTAGAAGAGAAGAAATAATTTTATTGGCCAATAATTAATTGATCTTTATCTCTTATAACTTGGGAGAAAAGAAATAATCATATTGGTCAATATATATTTAAAAATCATTATATATTTAAATTAGGAATTTATTTCACAAAATTTCTAATATTAAAATAGAAAACTTATAATTTATATTTAATATATATATATATATATATATATATATATATATATATATATATATATATATATATATATATATATATATATATATATATATATATATATATATATATATATATATATATATATATATATATATATATATATATATATATATATATATATATATATATATATATATATATATATATATATATATATATATATATATATATCGATGGCTATTTGGCTACTCATTCCATAATTTTTCAATCTATATGAGTAAAAAGGAACTTATATAATGTATGTGTTGTTAAATCATTATTAGAATGTACTATATTTATCCTTAATGTAACTTCTTACGTACATGTTTTTTTTTTCTCGCATTTATCCTTTTTATCGACACGCTTATTGCAGCAAATATATTGTAACGCGAGATCTAATATTTTGGACCATTTTACGTACATGCGATAGGGCCGAGCCCAGAAGGCCCAAAAAAAGGAAATATAGGACATTCAAATGGCTCCGACTTTTCAAACTCGAGTTATAAAAATGGTTCACGAAGGCCCAGTTGGGTAATATTCAGTATCGGAACGTAATTTGAAAACCCTAACTCTTACCTATAAATATGATAAACATATATGTTATTTCATCTCTTGTGAATTCTATGTTCCACTAGACTATTGTAGTTGAGGAGTTGATTGTCAAAAGGGTTTCGTCGGGCAAAGTTTTTAACGCCCGAATGAGAGTCCGTGAAGTAGGTCACAACCCATCAAGGAGACTCGATCAGTCCATCTCGGAGAAATTCATTCACACACTAAAGAGTATGTAAAAAGTCTATTAATTAAGAGATCCACCGGTGCATTTAGGAGAACAAAGTAAATTGTTCGAGTCATCCTAGATCGTTCAATTTTGTGTGTTAAATGTACGAAATTCATCGATGTGTTCTTGAAGATGCAAATCCAATCGAATAACGCCCGAATGCAGAGTGGAGAAGAGACGCCACACCAATCTATGGATTACGAAGGCCGGCCTTAATTGTGCATCGTCGTTCGCCCGACAACCTGGATCTCAGACAAATCACCGGCATTGCCATCCGACGACCGCCTACTCAAATTGGGTAAAATAAAATTAAACACAACATACTAAAACGTGCTCAATTGGCCTTTTACCACATGCGTATAAGCACGACTAATTAACACACAATTGAGTAATATCAAACCCTAATTTAGAAATCGTAATCCTAACGTATAAACAAATAATTCGCACAAAACTATTATAAATGTAGGATATTTATTACTTTGTTGAATTTGTCTTTTAAACTACGCACTCCACAAGTTCACATGAACTGATCGATTTGATCTTCGATGCTTGTTACAGGCCACAAATAATAATCGATGATGCAATCTTGGAGATCTTTCACACACTAAAGAGCTCGCATCCAGCTGGTCCATGCGGGGGGACGAAGAGAATTGGGTTGTGCCAAATCGATCTATACCCGATCCATATTGATATAACCAGGTAAAATTCTCGATTTTTTTTGTTTATTTTGATTTTGTTTACTAATTAAAAATAAATAAACTTCAGTTAGTTACAATAGATTTCACATAAGTTTATCAATTACACGTATCATTTTAACATTGATTTCTATTTTTATAATTTCAGCATGCATATTTTTCTTAACCGACATTTAATTTAATTAACTGATTTAAGTTAGATTAGAAAGTCAATTCAACAGACTACAAATTCTACGTTTTGAATTTTCTCAAATCCCAAATGGAAAATAGTTAAAATGACATTTATAGTCGAAACAACACCAATAAAATTGAAATGACATTTAACAACTCCCTTTTTACACCAATGTTTTTAGTTTCAAAAGAATAAGGTTTTTTTTTTTTTTTTTATAATTCCACCAAAGGTCAAAGATAATGTTTTTATTTCCCTAGTTAATTCTTGAACTAGTTTACATAGAATATCAATAAAAACATAGTTGCATTGAGGAATTGATTTCAACAATCATGTAACACAAATTAAATGATAACCACATTTGCATATGCCAATCTTCTTCAACCCTAAACTATAATTTTCTTCAAATTATTAATTAGTCTATATTTCTGAGCTCTTTTTAATATATTGTTCAAAATATTAAAAAAAAAGTATTTAATATATTTATTCAGTTAATTAATAATTAAATATTATAAATTGCTTTTTATCCTCGGTTATAACGGATAAGTTCGTCATTAAATAGTGAGTTATCGGACTCCACCTACAGTTGTAAATGCAAAGCACCAAACGATTTTGTATATATACTGAATAAATAGGCAGATGGTAACTGCAATCATTACATCATGACACAAATATATATATATATATATATATATATATATATATATATATTCTTAAACCTAGCAACGCCAACTCAGCAAAGAGTGGTAATATGGTATTTTTTTTGGTGCAATTAATATTATTATTTATTTGTTTTTAAATTCAAAATAGTATTTCCGTTGTGACAAAACAAAAAAGGTAAAAATATGGCAAAATACTATGTATTACTATTTCTGTCAAGATTATTGTAGTAATAAAACCTTGAATTCAAAAAATTCCACAATTTTTTTTTATTGAAATGTTTTTTTTTTAAATTACATTCTATATATTTCGTTGTAGAACATATTCGAAATGGTAACAAATCGATCTTATAATTTCGATTTAATTGAGAAGTAAAATAAAAAAAAAAAATTACGAACGGCTATATTTATTTATTTTGTGATTTTGTAATTTTGTATTAGTTGGATTTAAAATGTATAAAATTGTAAAACAGCTAGCATCTAGACAAAGACAAATTTTGTTTAACCTCTCTATATTTACTTCACCCAACCATAATAAATTAGCCTTTATCTCAACACCCCCATTCACTTATATATAAAGAGCAGCTATATACAAAGTAATATACATCAATTTATTTAATTAATTGTTTTATTTTATAATTTTTTTCAATCCCTAAAAGATGAACAATCCTCAGGATGAAGTTATGGAGCAGGTATTCCCGCAGTCATTTTCATATATATGTAATATTTTTTTGTTTTAGTACGATGATGAATATTTATATATTTTACTAATTGTGGAACTATTTTTTTTTTTAATTCAAATCATGAATTGTTTTTTTATTTTAAAATACATATTATATGCACATTACATTTTGCGTGGCGCTGGGATTCAAACTCTCGACCTCCCATACGAGTTGAGTGGCGATTCGACAAATTTGTTTATGTGCATGATTTTTATATAGGGTAGGGTTTTATTATTTTTAAAAAACAAATTTAACAACGCGAGTACTAATGAATTTCTTATTAAAAATGAGGAAGATCTATGAAGAGAAAAATGAACTAGATGGCATAATTAGTACTAATTACTCGATTCATTACACGAATAATTAAGGTGGTTCTTGTTTTTATAAAATTATACCTTTGGTTTTCTTACATTTCCTTGTCCAAGATATATATCTATGTTATTAAGTAACATTAATATTGTAATTTGCTAAAAATGATGAAATTTACAAGAAAATTTATTCTATTTATTTATTTCAAAAATTCGAATGTGTAATTAAAATATCTAATTGAATTATTCATTTCCATGGATTTTTTTTTTTTCGATTTTTAACCCTAACACAATTTTTCTACATGATATAATAATTTATTGCGCAATTTGAGAAAACTTCCTTAGATCTACTATTATTTGATGTAATAATGATGACAACATTTTTTTTTGTTTCGACTGAACTACTTACTTTCCGTTTTATATTTACAAAAATACCCTCAAACACTACGGTTCAGCGCACGCTAATTAACTCATCCGCCTTCTGGATCTCAATATTAAATGATTTATTTATTTATTTATTTATTTTTGTACATATATATAGGTTGAGGAAAATGTGCAGTTTCCGGAATGGGTTAGTTCGTTCTTGGCGGAGACGTTCTTCGAGAAATGCGGCAACCACGGTGGGAACCAGAAGAACGAAGTGAATAGGTATTGCATTAGTTGCAACGAAACTTCATGCAGGTACTGCGTTGCGTCTGGTCACCACAAAGACCACTACGTACTTACGATTTATCGACATGTCTATCAAAATGTTGTCCCTCTTACTCCCATGGAGGCTCATATCAACTGCGACGGAATCCAGGTATTTATTATATATACATACACCGATTTAATTTATATATTACATTGTCAATTATAATGTAATGCATTCTTTACAGTGCTTTGTCATAATCTATGCTACAATAGTATTTAGTACCAAATGCTTTCATTAATTGCTACCTTTCATTTATATATTTATACTAACTTTCAGAATGTAGTTGGTAGGGATGGAAATCGGAAATGGATTTTTGATATTTGCCGATTCAAATATAGAAAAACGATTTTGAAATCATATTAATTTTTGTAGTGACTTCCAAAAATTTTGATTTCGATTCTCCAAAATATTTTGGATCGGAATTTGGAATATATATGAGATTTTCCGATTTTCGTTGGAATTTTACTTTTCGAAAGTAATTCTTGAAGAAAAAAAAAACCATATTTTTCAAAAATTACATTTATAATATCAATATTATTATGCATTTTAGGTGAAAATCCGATTCGAAATTATTCGATTTTGAAACAAATTTTTTCATTCCAATTATGAAATTCTGATCCGATTCCACCCTGTGATTTGTAATAAAAGAAAGATGCATATCGTCGATAAATATATATTAAACTAAATTAACATTGGCCTTTTTATTATTACAAAAGAAATTAGTAAAATATTTTAATTTATTTCATGTGATTTTATGTGGGTGATATATAAATTGAATAATAAAATATTTGAATAATGCAGCCGTACAAATGTAACAAGAAGTGGGTGATTTCTCTAACACCACTCCCACATAATGGGTCGGGTTCACTGATGGAAGGCGGCGGAGCTTGCCTTGTTTGTAAGAGAAAGCTCACTGATTCTTCTTCCTATCAATTCTGCTCCATTGCATGCAAGGTATTCTTTTTTCCTTTTTCGTCTTTTTATTAATTATAATGCTTCCTCCGTTTTAAATTATCTGTCGCTTTAATTATATTTTTGTTCCATTTTTATATTTACTTTAAAATTCTAATAATGCATTGATTACCTGATTAGCCAATAAATTAATATGAGGCTATTTTAGTCAAAGTACATATTTTTAAAATTAACTATTTTTAGTGACTTCCATAATACTTGTGCAACTACTTTAAACAATTACTTATTCTGAAAAGATGGGTTGTTGTTAATTTGAGATTGAATTGAAAAATTAGCCCTAATGTATTTTTGAAATTACTAAAGAACCCTTCATATTATTATTTTTTAGCATGAATCCCTCTACATTTTGTTTCAAGTTCAATCTCTCATGTTTAATTTACCATTTTTACTTTTTCACAATAAATTGGAGGAAAATGACCAATTTTGCGATTTGAAAATCGACACTTATAGTTACATTGTCGAGGGTTTTTTTAGCAATTAGAAATGTACATGGCAATTTTGCAATTTTTTCAATTTGTTTAATTTCCTGCACTTTTTTGTAAATGTTATAGTAAAACCCTATTACCTCAATACATTCATAAATTTTGAATTCTCATTTTGTTTAGATACAATGTTTCAGAGAAAAAAAAAAGTAATAAATACAATTGCCATATTAGTAATTAATTATTATAATTACCGTTTACTAATCTAGCACTAAATTAAATCTTACAATTACAAAATCATGAATTTAATTATAACTACGACTAATCTAATTATGAATTATATTGAACTTTAGTTTTCTTGAATACTATTAAAAAAATTCGTTAAAACATTGAAATATGTATTATTTATTATTTTGGCAGGTTTCAGCGAGTAGGGGTGAAGTGGAAGTTCCGGAAGCGGGAGAAGGGAGTTCAGCAATGCAGGAAGACGATGAGGAACCGGGGAATGGTCAAGGCCGCCGCCGTAGGCGCAGCCGGAAAGGAGTCCCTCATAGGGCACCTTTCTCTTCTAATACTCCCATCGTTTGAATTATTATTATTACTATTATGGAATTTCATTTGAATTTGGGTTTGTACTTTTATTAATTTGCTAGACCTTATGTTATGTTTTAATTTGTGTGCCTTTAATTTTCATTTGGAACTATGTTATGTTTGTGTGCTTTTGTTTTAATCTTTCTGGATTATTCGGGAAGACTTATTCAATATTATGGAATTTCATTAAGTTTAATTTGGGTTTTTACTATTATTAATTTGCTACTAGATATTATATATATTGTGTGCCTTTTTATTTAATTTTGAAATATATGTTTTTGTGCTTTGCTTGTTTCATTTACTTGGTTCGTAAGAGTCGTATTTGATCGTTTTTCTTCTTTTCAGATCGAAATACACTATGTAATTTCACACCATAGATCTACGCACATATATATGTGAGTGTGCGTAAGAATGGTTGTTACAATACACGTGTATGGTGAGAGAGATTACACCACCACTCGTTTCATATATTTCGTAAATCACATAATTTTTTGGACCACATTTTAATTTTTTCTTTTTTTGTTTTTGTTTTCTAGTTGGCAAACTCTTGAAACATGGCAACTACATCATAAATTTGAGGCAAGTATTAAAAAAATATTATTTTATTGTTTTGTCACTCATGAAAAAAACAATCTAATATTAGCCACTACTTGCCTTGGTCCTTCATTCATTCGAATCCATTTGTTTGTTTATAGTGCTAATGTGCTAAATTGTCATTTTCAATCCACATCGCCATTTGGATTAATCTTTAAATTCTATATGAAACATACTTTGAGCTAAGAGTAACACATTATATATTAATTAATTAGTTAATATTTATTGTATAACCTAATGTTTTTAATTTATTGTGTTGCGTGTCGACGAACATGTATTATCCATTAATGCAGAATCGAAGCAAGTGAGTTAGTGCTAATTGACCCAAATTTGAATCACTTGCCAAAGGTTGACGATATAGGTCGAGTTTGTCACACTTAGTTAGTCTAGTATAATTTACTTCTCTCATACATTTTGCAAGCTATTATACAAGAGTGCAGATTTACTTTTCTTCAAAAAATAAATAAAAAGAAAATATAATAAATTATTGCATCCACCAGTTTGGGCATAGGCACAACCAACTAATATTCCATGGACCATATGAGCTCAAGTTAGATGTCCACTATCCCATCTTGCACTCACATCCAATAGTTTTTTAGTTTATTATAATACATAAATATTTTTGTAGAATCAACCCCATTAGCTTTTGAGTAAAATTAAAGCTAATATATAGGGATAAAAATCGGATGAAACGCATCGTAAATTACCTTTTCGGTTTTAAACTATTAACTTTTAAAACATATATGGGACAACATTGTTTGGCTTAAAGTTACATTGGACATTTATGTCAATATTTGTATTTCAATTTAGTTTTAAAGACATAATTAAGACAATTTTGTCATTATAAACCGTAACTTATAGAGCCCGTTTGGAAGGACGGATTTGGGCTAGGACGGATTTTAAATCCACTGCCCAAATCCATTACGTCGTTTGGGCCGCAACTTAAATCAGTGGATTTCAAATACCCCTAAAAACCGATGGATTTGAGCCCATTTTTTAATGGATTTCAAATCCTCCCACAAACCTAGTCATTTGAAATCCACCCATCGTGACTTCTCTCAGCAGCCTTCAAAAATTAGGGATTTCTTCAATTATTGATCTTCTAGCTAGGGAATTAGCAGGGAATATTCCTCTTCAACGGCGGCGCTCGACGGCGGTGCTCGACGGTGGTGCTCGGCGGCGGTGCTCGACGGCGGTGAGCTGCCCATAGGCCCTCTCTTGGACGGGTAGTCTACCTCGACTCCAACCTCGTCCTCGTCGACGACATCGCGAAAGTCGCGGCAACACCGCTCCCGAACGTGGCCGTGCTGGCGGCGCCGGAGTACCGCAACGCCAACTTCACCACGCCGACGTTCTGGTCCAACCCTTCTCTCTCTCTCTCTCTAACCTTCGCCAACAGAAAACCCTTCTCTCTCTCTCTCTAACCTTCGCCAACAGAAAACCCTGCTACTTCAACACCGGAGTTATGGTGATCGATCTCCAGAGATGGAGGGCCGGAGATTACTGTTAACCACAAATTTTCAAGTCTGCAAAATATAATAAAAATACAAGACAAGAAAATAGGGAACAAATAATTTATTAATCAAAACGATGTGGATTACAATCTCCGTAATTCCCCTGATTCTTCTCTCCTATTCTAATTTTGATTCAAGGGCTTAAAAGCTTGTTCTTGAATCGAACATATGATTTCCTATCACGAACATCTCGAATTTAAATATGTTATGAATTTGAGGAATCGAATATATGATTTCCTATCACGAACATCTCGAATTCAAATATGTTATGAATTCGAGGCGGAGGCTCGAGACGTGAGCTTGAGAGCTCGATATGTGTCTTTGTGAGTCTGATTTTTTGCATGCACCAAAGGTCGCTTTTTATAGGCACGAGCTAGGGTTTTGACTTGTAGCATGGGCCGATGGACTTGAATACTTGTCATTTGATTTATTGGGCTAGATTCGAGCCCAATTAGATAATCCGTAAAATACGAATTTATTACTTATTTAAGAATTAATCCATTTGTAAAGCCCAAATATGTTATGGACATAGATTCGAGACCCAATTAATAACCGATATATTTGGCCATTAATTGGTGAAATTTCAGTGTCAACAATTACACCACCAAGATTGTCGAGTGGATGGAGCTTCAAAAGAGGATGAGGATTTACGAGCTGGGCTCTTTGCCACCATTCTTGCTCGTGTCCGCCGAAAACATAGCTCCGGTGGAACCAGCACGGACTCGGCGGCGATAACTTCCGTGGTCTCTGCCGTGATTTGCACCCCAATCCGGTGAGCCTGTTGCATTGGAGTGGGAAGGGGAAGCCGTGGGCCCGGCTCGACTTCAACCGGTCCTAGCCGTCGATATATATATATATATATATATATATATATATATATATATATATATATATATATATATATATATATATATATATATATATATATATATATATATATATATATATATATATATATATATATATATATATATATATATATTACTTATGGGTGTATTTTTTTGAAAAAAAATCGGATTTTTTCGGAATTCATTTCAGAAATTAAATCGGTTCGAAAATCGGAAATTCCAAATGTATTTTATATGATTCCAATTCCAGTACAAAAAATTCGGAAATCGGAATTTCGGAAGTCGGAATGAAAAAAGAAGTTCCAAAATCGAAAGTTTTTTGATCGAAACCGGCATAAATTGGAATTTTCGTTCCAACTTGCACCCCTGGGTTTAATAATCTAACATGTGGTTTAGGAAAATAAAAAAAAAATAGCATTTGAAAAATTAATTAAAACTTAAATGTCACGTGGTAATAAGTGAGAGGATTTATTTTATGGGCTCTTTGAGGAAACCCCCTCATTACTTCTTTTAATGGAGAGGCCCAAAATATTTTTTTCCATTTGAGAAAAGCCCACACCCATTTTCAGCCATTATGTTTTCCAGTTTTGCCCCCACCCGCCACATCATCACGCGCTCAGCATTTTTTTTTCTCCTTCTTTTCCGTGTCAGTTTCCTTAATCGACTATGAAGCATAGTCGATTAGCCTTAATCGACTATGCTTCATAGTCGATTAAAGAAATTCTTTAATTTTTTAATTTTTTTTTCTATATCAGGTATATTAATCGACTATGATGAAGCATAGTGATTAAGAATCTGCTACTAAACATAACGAATCACAATTGCAAAAAAAATGCAAAATCAACTATATTTTATAAAATACAAAAAATATACAAACATAATAATTGATTTATACAATTGGAGTCAATAAAAAAATCCAAAAATAAAAAATTGGAGTCGATCAACCTTAATCGACTACCAGAGCATAGTCGATTAGCTTAATCGACTATTGAATATGTACATAGTCGATTAAGGTTCCAGCTTGCGCGAATTTCTCTACACGCGCCGTCCTCCGCCTGATTCACAAAAAAACCCTAGATCTGCCTCCCCATCGTCACCACAACGTCGCCACACCACACATCTACATCCCACGCAGTCGCAAAAGATCATTATTTACCAATAAAATAGACAAAAATCATAGTTGATCTATAATTGCTTTAATACAATGGGAGGCAAGATCAAGGCAACAGGTAACACTAGTTGGTTTCGAACCAGACAAAAGCAGCTGGGGCTGGAATTGGTCGGAGTGATGGATGGTTGTTCGCCCTTGGGAAACCTGCCACAAATATTTCAAATGAGAAGGCTCATTCTCGTTCAATCCAGAACGAGAAAAGGGTTGTGTCCAATTTGATGGCTGCAGCGGTTCTTCACCCAATATGTCGGCCAATTCGTCCGAGCATTATTTAACGACGCCGGCCGAATTCTGATCGAGCAGAGAATAAGCAAATCGAGAAGAAAAAAAAAGAGAAAGAGAGAGAAGAAAGAACGAGAGAAGAGAGAAGAGAGGATAGAGCAGAGAGAAGAGAAGAGAGAAAACGAAAACAAAAACAACGGCGTAAAATGACATGTTAAAATTTAGGGTTAGGAGTAAGGGTATAATTGGGATATTACATTTATTAATTATCCAAGCTAATAACAAAAGGGGATTTCTCTAATTATTTTTGGGAGGAGGATTTTCCTTAACACCATTTCCTAGATGAGGGGGTTATTGCTAATTTTCCCTTTATTCTATGCTACACCCGGTTAAGTTCACCGCGTGTCTAAGATTTTGACACATGCCAATTAATAAATTAATTAGTTAATCATATATTTTTTTATGTATTCTGAAAATGAGATTGAAAGAATCACTTTAAAATAGGTAATTACTAATTAGGATCCTCTCTCCAAATCTTTCCTAGTTTTTTCTCCGATTACTCCCATAATCATATGTTCCACCCATTACTGCCACTTCTTCTTCGTGGTTCGATTAATGTTTGTCTTATTTTTCTTCTTCGTGGTTCGATTAATGTTTGTCTTATTTTTTTCTTTCTTATGGCTTCCGCAAACGAAACTTTGCAACAAATCTCCAACCTTCCCTGTATTTTTAAGCTCTATTATTCACATAAAATGCAAGGAATTCTTTGTGATAAAACATGAGTGCAAGTTTATATATCTCAAGCATATGCATTATGAGAGAAAACCTATATCATTAAAAATTATAAATTTCAACACACCACTAATAAGTAAAGACATGACAAATCATTGATGTACTATGTAGTTATTGGATATACATGGCACTATAAAATTATTATTTATTAAATTTGATTATATTATTTGCTTGAAGGTATGGAACAAAATTCATTATCCAACGATGATAATACAAAATGTGGTTCAAAGGTACATAACAAATCTTTGATAAAAGAATTTGAGCATAAATTAACAGTTGGTCAAATTGTAACAAGTCCTGAAAATAAATATCTATTATATTGTAAATATGGGCGTATTAAAGGTTTTAGTGTGAGAAAGGGAAAACAAGAGTATTTTCATGATAATAATAGAGAACTTTATATGAATGAGTTTGAATGTTCTTGTAAAGGCACAAAGGATGAAAAACTTAGTGATAAAGGTAAACAACCACTATACTTAAAGATTGAAACGAGATTTGGTTGTAGAGCAAGGCTTAGAGTTGGAAGAAAAAAGAATGACGAGTGGAAAATTGTTATTTTTGACATTCAACATAATCGTGACATGGTCACACCTGACCAAAGTTATATGTTAAGATCGGCTCGTAATATTTCATATGTTAAAGGAGATACTTTAAAAGCACTAGTGGAAGCTGGATTTTCAGTAGCGAACGCGTATTCTTATACGCAACAAAAATTACATGGGAGGGAAATGTAGGTTTTGCTAATAATGATGCATACAATAATATTAATCGTTTAGCAAAAGATCAAAAAAAAGTTGATGATGGTGATGCAGGTGAACTAATTCGATATTTTAAGAATAAATCGAATGAATATGCATTATTCTATTGGAATTTTCTAGTTGATGAAAATAATAGGATGTGTAACTTTTTTTTAGAGATGGTCGGTGCCGCCTTGATTATGAAACTTTTTGTGATGTTCTTTCAATTGATACAACATATAAAACAATAAATACAATTTCATTTGTGCACCTTTCACTGGCATTAATCATCATTAGAACAATGTAATGTTTGGGTTGGCTTTTAAATGAAACATAGTCATTTTTTCAATGGTTATTTAGTACTTTTCTTGAGTCTATGGGTAGTAAACAATCTGAAAGTGTCTTCACGGATCAATGTCAAGCAATGATGAATACAGTTGGAATTGTTTCCAAATTCGCTACATCGATCGTGGCATATATGTCAAAACGCTCCCTCGTATTTCGGTAGTTTAAATAATAATTATGAGTTCAATAATATGTTTTATAAGTGTATGGAATTTTGTGAATCTGACGAAGAGTTCAAGAATGTGGAGTAAAATGATCGTTGATTACAATCTGTATGACCATTCATGGTTGAACAACATGTACAAGTTGAGAAATAAGTGGTCTATGATATTTAGTAAACATAGATTCAGTGCTGAACTTAAAGTTACATGAAGAAGTGAGGGCACAAACTCTACTTTGAAAGTTGATTTGTAACAGTACACATGGTTTGTTTGAGTGTGTTGTTCGATTCGAAAAAGTTTAGAACACGTGGCGTCAAGATGATAGAGAACATGGCTTTAAATTCCGTCGTGCAATGCCTACACTTGTTGTAAAAAACTATTTATTTACTGAGTGATGCTGCAGCAGTTTATACTCACACTATATATAACATGTTCCAATCAGAACTGAATTCATTGGGAATCGATCTTAATGGAGAGCCTTTACGTATTGATACTTTAATCAAGTTTAAAGTAAGATCACACGGCAATTCAAGTCAGGTTTGTAAAGTTGTGTTTGCTTTGGACTCACATGAAGTAAATTATAGTTGTCAGCTATTTGAATCTGTTGGTATATTGTGCAAGCATCCATTGCTGGTTTTTAAAGAAATGAATGTGCATAAATTACCCACAAGGTATACATAAAAGTGAGCTGGACAAAAGGCGTAAGAGATGTAGTGCACTTCAACAATGAGAACTTATTTGCAAGTAACCAAGAATCTGATACAGTTTATGTAAATCATGCAATGAGATTTTGTTATGATCTTACAATTCGGAGTAAATTTCATCCAAACGCTAGAGGTTTCGTGAGAAGTGGGTTGAGGGTGTCCTTTCGAATTTGAATGCTTTACTTGATACATTTGATTTGAGCAATACTACTGCATATATAATGATAGAGGGTTCTCAAGTTAAAGATGCTATGGAAGAAGAAAGTGTTATAAATTTGATGAGCTTGTGAGGAATCCTCTTTATGTGAAGTCAAGAGGAGTGAATAATATTCGTCTCCCAAGCCATTGGGATTTGAAAAGCAAAAGAGGAAAAAAGAAAATTAAGTCTTCAAGTAAGTTTATCAAATGTTTTACGTTGTAATTCTATTTTGTTGTATTAATTATTTTTGTCATGTCTTAGAGAGGCAGCAAAAGGCACAAACAAGAAAGCTAAGACCTTCGAAAGAGCCGTAATGTTCGACATTTACAATACACTGCTCATCCTTCTGAAGATATTTCAACTGGTTCCCAAGCTTGTGAACCTCGATCTGATTGGTTGCATCCTATGCCGTAACGGCAATGGATGTGTTGAGCCATTTATTTTGTCTCTAATTATAATAAATATATTTGGCATCTTATAGTTTATGTATGAAATATCTAGGAACATATGTAATTGCAACAATCTCTCACGTACTCACTAACTCACATAAGAATAAATCAACGTGAAATAAACATTGCATAATTGCTTAGAAAATATGGATACAAATTAAATAATTGCGAGGCCACTTAAAAGGGCAAACATGCATATAAGAGGTGAAATAGAAAAAAACAAAAACAAGAGGGGATACAATAAAAACAATTTTATCATGGTGCATGTAGCATCACGAAGAACAATATTTAAAATGAGATAAATAAAAAGGAATATAGGAATAAATATGATCTAGGGATCACATTCTTCGGATTTCTTCTTAGCATCCTTCTTCTCGTGATGCTCGTGAAATGCGAAACCAGCAGCTCCGACCGCCACCACAGCCGCTATCTCTTCCTGTACCTTGTGTTTGTGTGCATTCTCCGGGTCCTTCTTCGCCTTGTGCTTCTCGTGCTGGTAATTAGTTCCATCATTTAATCAGTAAAGTGTTTAAAAAGAAAATTGCTATTAATAATAAATATCAAATTATTTTAAATTTCAAAATGAAGCGCCACATGGAGTCCTAGATTAAATTAGGAAAAAAAAAATATTGGGGATAGATAGTTTGAACTTTGAAGCATATATATTATTTTGTGAAAAAATAGAAATAAAGGTAGAAACTTTTTCTCTCTCTCAAATATATCATAACAGCCACATTTTCCTACTCTTATTAATCATACTATCATTTTCCCCCCTAGCGATACACGAGATAGCATTTCAAAAGTGAAAATAATGATTAGTTTAATACATGACAATAACAATTATAATAAAATTTATTAGTGATATCGGTAACAACATTAATATATATACAAATTTATAATACAAACTCATTTTGAAAAAAATATATATAAACTTAATCGTCATAACATGAAATTGATCATTAAATAAATGAAACAAAGAAGAATTAGAGAAAATAGACTGGATAATATGAGATAAAAATAATAATAACAATTATAATAATATAGTGTTGTGGATAGGATTGGGCTTAGTCGAGATTTGATGTGAAGTAATTAGAAGAAAAAAATTGACTGCAATAAAAAAAAAGTGTTATTTTTTTTGCAAATGTGCACTAGGGTGTCTTAGATTGCCCTAGTGTTTCTTTCTTTTATATATAAGATATTTAGATATATTAAGAGAGATAATCAAATCTTTAAAAAAGATTTTTTAAAAACGTACCAAGGCATATGCACCGACAGCCATGGCGCCAAGGCCAGTCAATTGCTCGACATGTTTGTGATGTTTTTCTTCTTTAGCATAATCATGGACTATTTCTTCTTCTTCTTCGCCTTCCTTCTTGTGGTGGAATAAGCTGTGGTGCTTCTTCTCTTCGGCCATGTCGATTATTATTTTAATTATACTCGCTAATTAATTATTAGTCAAGCTAATTTTGTTTTGTGGTACTAAATATTTGCATTTGGATTACACTATTTATAAGCAATGTCATAAGTTTTTTTTTTTTTTTTTTTTTTTTTTTTTTATAATTTTAATTCATTTGTCCAAGTCTTAAATATCGTGAGAAGCACAATAATAAGCATGGTATTATTATATTGCAAGCATCATAGTTTATAATTCCGGTTACTATCACTATTCCTTGAATTACGGAATTTAATTAAGAATATTCCAAGGAAGAAAATGTCTTTTTTTTCAAGTTTAGAGAAATTTAATAGATATAATAATTTGATTATTTTATGGGGCGTGCTAAATCCCATACTAAAATTTACTAAATCCCACAATAAATTAAAAAAATAATTCTCTCTCTACTCATATTTTCTCTAACTTCTCTCTAAGATGATTTTATCCAAGTCACTCAAAATTCATTATTTTTTTTACGTGAATAATCATAAAAAATGTGTTCAGTTTTAATTTATATTTATTCGATTTTATTAAGCATCTTTAATTATTCAAATTCATATCAATTTGATTTTTTTTTCCTTAAATTCCAACTTTATTTTAGTTTGAACATGTAAAGATTTTTGTCAAATTCGAACTTGGAATGCTAGGGACGTTTTTAGTGTGTGATTTTGTGAAAAAAGTTAAGGAAAAAAGAAGAAGAGTGGGGAAGGAGAAGATAATATTTTAGAAAGAGAAATATTTTTAGTTATGTGCATGATTTGGTAAAATTAGTGCGGAATTTAGCATTTCAGTTATTTTATATGGGATTAAAATATTTAGCATTTTATAGAACTAACTACCAAGTGGATTACACCCTAGGGGAAACTCCCCTCATTTTGAAAATATTTTGACATACCCCCCTGGGCCACCCTGAAGTTCCTATAATACCCTTTTAAAATCAGTTTTAAACCCTAGCCACCATAGCCACTCATATTTCGTCTCTGTCTTCTTCTCCCAGATTCAAAATCCCGCCTCCACAAACCTCCCACCGGCGAAATTGCTTCCCGGAGTCATAACTCTCTCTCCGGTGGTCGGAATTCGATGGTTTAACTACCATTGGATTCCTCTCGTCGAGCTCTTTCTTTTGGTGGTGATTTCATTCAGTTTGGAGAGCATATCTGTTTCTGCAATTTTTTTTCATTCGACGACGGTGGTCTCGCCGGAGGTGTATTTTGTGTTCCACCATTCGAAATTTGACGGGCTACCTACCGTTGGATTCCTCTCATCGAGATCTATATTTTGATGGTAATTTCGTTGTTTTTATGTTCTCAGATTTATTTCTATATTTTTTTGCATTTGTGGGCGCGCGGAACTGTGGGTGGTTATTAGCAGCGCCTAGGGTTTTGGTAGGAGGCGAGGGGGTGAAGAGTCACTGTCTGTTAGAATTAAAATATGTAGCATTTCCTAGCAATAGCCCCTCTTTCTCTATCTCTCGATCTCTTAGTGTTTGTTGATTTTTTTAGTGTTTTGATGTTTCTTCAAATTTTATTGATTTGCACTAAAGTATTTTTTTTTTTTTTTTTGATTTTGCAATTGCAGCTTAGTGAAAGCCATTGATCCTCTCCTTGAAGGTGTCAAAAATTTGGTTGAAGATATGTTGGGGCTAAATACCTAACACGCAAGTGTACGTATCGCGAACAAGTAGTAAAAGTGGACTCGTGAGAGTCGGATGTCGATCCCACAGGGAATACTCAAATTACCTAATCCTAAGTACCAAATTCTAACAACTATGATTTTTATCCAGCCTACGCAAGTTTGTCAAATTAAATCAATTAAACAACTAAACTAATTAAGAAAGCAAAGAATCACGAGAAAATATCAATATAAAACGGATCTAGGATTTTATCTTCCCCCTATGCAAGAATTGCTCACCCAAAACCCCTCAATTATGAAATATATGATTCATGATTATTAACCCGAGACACTAATTTACTCATAACCCGCTGTCGCGTGCATTATGAGTCTATTAATCATAAACGATTCACTATATGTCTATGCAAACCAATTATGAATAAAGCATTAACTAACAAGTCTCGTAAATGGCTACCTAAGGTGATATCTGTATGTCTACGACACCACATGCAATTGACACACTCATCCGGTGAAAACTACTCGAAGGTTCTTATACTTACCGTCTAATTATCAAAATAGCTCTGTCGAGTCAATCCCAATAATCACAGATAAAACACATAAATTGATCAAGTTCATGCACTAACAATCATAACAAGTATAAGAAATAATCATAAAATCATAATTGCATAATCTCAAGAAAACGGGTTCACCATCCCCACATAGGGTTCCAACAAAATCCTAGATTAAAAACTTAGCTACTCATGTTCTCTACGAAAAACATAATAAAAATATAAAAAGACATAGATTAAGAAAAGATAGATAAAAGAAGAATTGTGATGAAGATTTGTCAATTCTCCGTCTTCGATTCTTCGTTCTCTCGCTCCTCTCGCTCCAAGGTTGTGTCAAAAGTTCTTTAATTCGTGCTTGGTTTGCCCTTAAATAGATGTCCCAACTTGGTAGATGATTCTAGGTTTCCTTGTGTGATTAAAAGTCCAAAATTGTCTCCAGCGTGTTTTGGCGCGGCCGCGCGAAAATCAGTCAAAATCTCACACGGCCGCACGAGAATCGCCGAAACCTTCTGCCCAACTTCTGCAGTTGGCACGGCCGTGCCAAAAATAGGCTAAATTTGGCACGGCCGCGCGGGCATTTTCAGCCAATTTTCAGCACTTTTGTTTTCTTCCGTTTTTGCCCGTTTTTGACCTTTTTTGGCTCATTTCGCCCTTGGAACTTCCAAATCATCAAGTTGTACCTAAAATACAATAAACCACTTATTAAGCATCAATAAATCAATAAAAGTATACAAAAATCCTCGTAAGAAAGTATACATTGAGTGTAAAATATACGCTCAACAAGATACATGTGAAGCAGTGTTCAACAAACTGTATACATTACTATACATATAGTAACATGTAGTTACATATGCATATATTTGTGTATTTTCGATTTGTATTTTATTGGTTCTGAGGTGATTTATAATAAAAATATTGAATTTTGCAATTTTTTGTCGGGGTTTATGAATTTTTTTTGTATAAGCCAGTATTCGTGTGTGTATCAGTGTATACAATTGATCGACTAAAAATATGGGGAAAAAAGACGAACATAACTACGAATTACTATAGGTACCATAGTTACATATAGTTATTTTCAGTACAGTAAACATATTGTTTTGAAAATAAAAATAAAATAAAAAAATAATATATATATATATATATATATATATATATATATATATATATATATATATATATATATATATATATATATATATATATATAAATTTAACAAACAGGTTTGTTGTTATTTAAAAAAAAAAATAATAATAATAAATAAATCAGCGAAAATGATAAATGCAGGACCAGAAATGCTGAATGCAGTTTGGCCGAAAATTGCATATGAGGATAGTATAGTATTTTCGCTTCTCCAGGGGGTATGTCAAAGGATGATTTGGGATTGAGTTTATCCCTAGTTTATTTGGTGGCTAGGAGGTACGTAAAATAACCCCATTTTATATTCAAGTGATCGTGTTTAAGGCGTGTTTACTCAACTTTGATTGGTTTCTAAAGTTAAATCCTATAATTAATCTGTAGTTGAATATAATAATGTTACACTTGGGGAATTTAATTTTAAACAAAGGGTAATTTGAACGGTTTTGCAGATAATTGTTCATCTTTTTGAGAAAATTGAGGTTTCTTCGTAATATAGATTGAATTAGTAGAAATGCATTTATCTTCACTTATACGTATCGATATGTGAAATATTTATCACGAGAACATTTATTTTGGTTTATTTATATTTTCATGGCAATTTTGTTTCTTTGTGATAATTAAGGAACATGTATAAATGGAACTCAAATTCAATGCATAAATAGTCACTAGCTTAATTTTCATGTGCTTAATCTCTTTAATTAGCAATGGAAACGTCATTAATATGTAAAAGTAGACATTGACATCTAATCTAATTATACAAACATTCTCGAACTATTGATGAATTATTGCCAATTCGTACAGCACATGGCCGGTTCTGACTATAGCCGAGAGAGGCGGTCGTCTCGGACCACCGATTTTGAGAAAAAATTAGGGGTCCCCAAATAATGTTTTCTACTCTTTATATAATACAATCATAATATTAAATGATATTTAAAATTTATAAATAGTTAAATAATTTGAATAACAATAACTATATTATTTTACATGATTTTGGATATTTTTACACTTATTCTAGGGGGAGAATTACATTTTTTGGTCCCTCGTGTTCGGTCTTATTCCACTTTTGGTCCTTGTTATTTTTAAGTGAACAAAGTTCACCTCCAATGCTCAATTTTAAAAAAAATCGGTCCCTGCGGTTACATGTTCGTTAGCAAGTAACAGTAAAAAACTATTTTTGGGCCAAAAATTGAAATTTTAAATTTTTTTTGAGCTAAAAAATAATTATAAATTTAAATTATAGTACTTATAATTAGAAAGAAAAAAAAACACTAACAAAACGAATTAATTAAAACATGAATTTAAATATTTTAGAAAACCCGATTGCATTGTCTACCAATTTGTTTTTATAATTCCCACCACTCTCCCCTATGAAACACGATCTCAATTAAAATGCTACAATAATTGTTGGCATATCGTGGAGCTGACGTGGATGTTACAATCATACACAATTAATGTGGATAACATATTACCACCTTAATATATTAGAAATACAACGATGACTCCATTGCATAGAAATAGGGGAGTGCTATATGCTTATGTAAATTTACTATATGTAGATGCAAACAATTGAATAACCACGTTGACTTGACCCACAACAAGCGAGGGACCAATTTACAAGTTTGCAGATTGATTCTATATATAACAACATTTATCTGTGCTTAGTGG